AGAGGAGGGACCTAGAAACTTTGGTATGTGAGGGATAACTTCGGCTGGGAGTTGCTAAGACAGGAGAGGAACAGATATGTGGGAAGCATGATAGAAGCATCCAGGCTTTTGAAGGGAACAGGGAAGAAGAGCTGGTTGTGTTCTGCATGGCCCTGGAGTGCAGAACTGGAGCTATAGGGAGAAGCTACAGAAGGTAGATTCAGCTCTATGTAAGCAGAAAACCTGTTCAAGGTGGGAAGTCCACCTTACAAGGAGTGAGTCATCCATGTATGTAGGTATGCAATGACAGTCTGCATCAGAGATATGAAGGAAGAGGGAGGGAGGGGAGAACAGGAGAGTGAGACAAACACAGAAGAAGAAAGGAAGGGAGGCCGGGAGTACTGGCTCACGCCTGTAATCCTAGCACTTTGGGAGGCCGAAGTGGGCGGATCACTTGAGGTGGGGAGTTCAAAACTAGCCTGACCAACGTGGCGAAACCCCGCCTTTAAAAAAAATAATAAAAATTGAAATTAAAAAAAAAGGAAGAGAGGAAAAAGAGAAGCAGAGGCACAAGGAAGGAAGAGAAGAGGTGAGACAGAAGACATTCCCAGAGTATAGGGCAAGTCATTGCAAACACAGCATGGAATCTGACTTGCCTTTTCAGGTCTTCCTTAGCGTTATCCTGAAACACCAGCAGATGGAGATATTACTCCAGGAAAGGAGGACTTTGCTTTTCTCCCTCACCTTTCCCCCTCTTGAAAACCATTTTCCCTCTCTTAAAAATGATACTAAGAGAGAAGAACTACAGATGTCTCTGAATAATTTCCAAACGAAATTTCCAAACAAATATTATGTGGTAAATTCTGCCTGTGATTATCCATGATTTGAATATAAAAGAGGCTTTTGCATTTTTGTTAATCCCAAAGTAGGGCTCCCTCCATCCTGCCCCATCCCTGTTATACAGGCATGTATGTATATGTACGTGGTGTGTATATGTGTGTCTTTTGAATCAGTGTTAAATAATTAAACAACACAGGGCTATACTATGATCCCCTTCCCGGCTGCCCCACCGTCAACACTTTACTTCCATGGATACAATCTCTATAATTTGAAATTCTTGCCTGTGGTAATTCTTGGAGTTTTTGCTTTCAGTGGGGGTGTTATACTCTTCACTCTTTCACCTCGATACAAAACAGTCAATCCAGAGGACTTTCACAGAATTTGTATGACTGGCAAAGATGTGCCTTAAAAGGGAATCGGTCTGGTACGACAGTGCTTCCTAAACTTCAAGTGTGCATTAATCACCTGCAGATCCTGATTCAGAAGATCTGATAGGGTTGGAGATCCTTCATTCTTCTTCTTTTTTTTTAAGATGGGGTTTCACCATGTTGGCCAGGCTGCTCTTGAACTCCTGACCTCAGGTGATCCGCTCACCTTGGCCTCCCAAAGTGCTAGGATTACAGGCGTGAGCCACTGCGCCTGGCCGGAGATCCTACATTTCTTTTCCCTCCCTCTCTCCCTCCCTTCCTTCTTTCCTTTCTTTTTCTTTCTTTTTTTAGATGGAGTTTCGCTCTTGTTACCCAGGCTGGAGTGCAATGGCACGATCTCGGCTCACTGCAACCTCCGCCTCCTGGGTTCAGGCAATTCTCCTGCCTCAGCCTCCTGAGTAGCTAGGATTACAGGCATGCGCCACCATGCCCAGGTAATTTTTTGTATTTTTAGTAGACACGGGATTTCACCATGTTGACCAGGATGGTCTTGATCTCTTGACCTCGTGATCCACCCACCTCGGCCTCCCAAAGTGCTGGGATTACAGGCTTGAGCCACCGCACCTAGCCAACACATGATTCTTGACAGGACATTTTTGTTATAAAAACATGATTGGGCCAGCTGCAATGGCTCACACCTATAATCCCAGAACTTTGGGAGGCCAAAGCGGGAGGATAGCTTGAGCCCAGGAGTCTGAGACCAGCCCTAGCAACATAGTGAGACCCGGTCTCTACAAAAAAAAAAAATTAAGGCCGGGCGCGGTGGCTCAAGCCTGTAATCCCAGCACTTTGGGAGGCCGAGCCAGGTGGATCACGAGGTCCAGAGATCGAAACCATCCTGGTCAACATGGTGAAACCCCGTCTCTACTAAAAATACAAAAAATTAGCTGGGCATGGTGGCGCGTGCCTGTAATCCCAGCTACTCAGGAGGCTGAGACAGGAGAATTGCCTGAACCCAGGAGGTGGAGATTGCGGTGAGCCGAGATCGCACCATTGCACTCCAGCCTGGGTAACAAGAGCGAAACTCCGTCTCAAAAAAAAAATAAAAAATAAAAATTAAAACAAAACAAAACAAAAAAGCTGGGTGTGGTGGCACATCTATATTCCCAGCTACTTGGGAGGTTGTAGTGAGAGGATCACTTGAACCTGGAAGGTCAAGGCTGCAGTGAGCCCTGGTTGCCACTGCACTCCAGCCTGAGTGACAGAGTGAGATCCTGCCTCAAAAAACAAACAAGAAACATTGGGACAATGGGTGAACTTAAATGAGATGTGAAGATTACATGGTAGTAAAGTACCAGTGTTAATTTCCTTTTTTTTTTTTTGGCACCCAGGCTAGAGTGCAGTGGCAACATCACAGTTCACTGCGGCCTCTGCCTCCCAGCCTCAAGTGATCCTCCCACCTCAGCCTTCTGAGTAGCTGGGATGGCAGATGTGTGCCACCACATCTGGCTAATTATTTTTTGTAGAGACAGGGTCTTGTTATGTTGCCCAGCCTGTTCCCAAACTCCTGGAATCAAGAGATCCACCTCCCTCTGCCTCCCAAAGTGCTGGGATTACAGGCGTGAACCACTGCGCCTGGCAGTTTGCCGATACTGATGGCTGTTTTGTTATTTAGGGAATGTCCCTTTCTGTAGGAAATACTATAGTCTTCAGGGGTGAAAGGATATCAGATTGATAGCTTACTCAATGTTTCAGGGCAAAAAAAGTTCTTGCAGTGTTTCTTTAAGTCTGAGATTGGGTAATTAGAAAAGTGTGACAAGTGCTCAAAGGGGCGTGCAGGCTTTAGGGTTAGTCCTAGGGTCCTGAGTGTTGGAGGCGGATGTGAGCGTGTGTGGAAGGAAGGGAGTCTTGAAAGAAGGTGATCCGGAGGACAGAGAGGAGTCAACCCCAGTTCTTGCCGTTCAGTGGTATGAATCTTTGGGCAGGGTCCTCGGCCAGGGTCCATGGTTAAAGGCCCTGCTTTCGCCCTTTTTCTGCTCTGAAAACTCTCCATGCAGAAGAAGGGTTGAACTCCCAGTGAAAAAGGGACATGCCCATTAGCTCGGACTCCCTCTTCTATTCCACTTCAGAATCTCCTGCCCAAATGCTTTGGGTTCACTGGGCTTCTGTTCGTTCACCTCAGGGTTGATTGGGACACAGGTGTGCCCGCCATAGCCCATGGTGGAGAGCTGTTGGCCAGACTGTGGACTGTGGGTAACACCCCCCAGGGGCACCAAGGAAGGAGAACTGTGCAGACTCCAGGCACAATTAGTGTCTGAAGTATAACTCATTGCTTATTTATATCTAGCTTATATAACTTAGTCCCATATAATCTTTCTATATAATCATATACTAACTTATTGCTTACTATATCTAGCTTATATATATAATCATACTTAGTTCCATTTAATCTTTCTGTATAATCATATAGGTATTATAGTCAGAGCTGTACTGACACATTTAGGGCTGATTTATATAATCTTTCTATATAACCACATAGTAGTTTATAGTAGGAGGAATGCCTACAGCAGTCACAGAACAGAAGCAGTACATGGGAAAACAGCCAGACCAGGACAAGAACCAAAGACCCAGGTGGCGTCCCTGCCTGAAAGGTCATACGCTGTATGGCAGGCTTGGAGCAAGAGCCTCTCCTGATAAAGGAGTTGTAGTACCTTGCATTCAGTTCCTGTGGAAAGTAGGCCTCAGGCCTGAGATCCTGCAAATAATCGAGGGAGAAGAACCCCTCTGATGTGACCAGTCACAGCGGCTGTACACCCTGTCAGCCTTTTCTTCCTTCTGTGTTAGTTCAAATCAGCCTCCCATAAATATCTTAAGAGACGAGCACAAGTCTGTCAGCTCCCAGTGCATTGGCTTACAGTATCTTTCTATTAGAAATCCTTTGACTCTCCAGCCCCCAGAAAAGAAGTGCTGCCACGACACCTGTTGCACACAGCCCACCTCCTTGCCTCAGTGACCTAACGGGGGTGGACCCCTTTTCTGTACATGACCCTCTACTACTGTGCGTGGCCCACCTCTCTGCCCAGATGACATAATGGGGGGGCCCCCTCACTTGTGACTCACGTGATTATGTATGCCCTGTCACTAAGCCTATAGATAATGACCTAACATAATCCTTCCCCCTGCTTGTACCTAATAAATACAGATGCTTCTAAGCATTCCGGCCCTCGCCTGTCTCTGCTCACAGGTGGCATGGCCCCGAGTCCAGATGCTCTCCACCAGTTCTTCAGTGTCTTGTCTCTTTAATTCTTGGATCCTGCACTTCAGCACAGCATAAGGGACACCCCACGATCCTGTGGGACCCAACAGCCCTACAGTGGACAAAGCTTGTACCTAGAGCTGGATGTCCTCCTGTGTAGGTGGGAGGCTCTCCAGAGAGTTCCTCGCCAGCAGCCGCATTTAGTTGGGGCTCAAGCAGTTCCGATCAGAGAATTCTAAATTTGAACTTGGTCTTTCAGGTTTTGGGAAGATGTGTTTGTCACTGCAGGAGAGAGAGACAGAAAGAGACGATTCTCTCTCTAGATGGTGCTAAGCGGGAAGAAAGCCCACAGGAAGCTTAGACTGAAGTCGCAGGTCCCTTTGGCGCCTCGGCCTCTGGACCTACAAAACCCAGAGTGGCGGAGAGCGCTGAGCCAATCAGGTGCTGCGCCTCGGCCGGCCGTGCGGGGGGTGTGGCACCGCGTAGGTGGAAACCACGCCTCTCCACGCGGGGGGCGGAGCCACGTGGCTCACGCACCTTGGGCAGTGCCCGGCGGAGCCACGCCTTTTCCGCCAGCGGCGTGGCCTGGGCTACCCGGTGTTTAAAAGAGCTCTCGCGGCTGTTGCTATCCTAACTCGTGTGCTTGGAGGCCAGACAGTCGACATGGCGGCAGACGCGTTGCCGATTGCGAAGTGGCTGTATTGTGGGGCGCCCGCTGGGAGTCAGAGAGCTGCATTGGGTAAAGACGGCGGAGCTGGAGCAGAGCTCCTCTAACCCTCTCAGCTTCCGTCTCGGTGCTTCAGCTGCCCTCTCGCCCTCCGTTAGGTCCCTCCCAGAGGTGCCAGGACCCCCCTGGTCTCCACCACTCTTTTGGGCTCGATCAGGACTCCCCTCTGAAATCGCCGTCTGTCGCTACCTCCCACCCGGAACATCCCAGGCACCCGCTCTCCAGGGCTGTGTCCAGGACCCTGCTGTCCCCTCACCCACCAGGTCTCCCACCTCCCCCATTTCCCTCTTTTCACTGGGCAGGGGTTCTTTCTGTCACTTTAGGTGTGGACCAGGCCTTTGCTGCCAGGCTCCTACGCCCAGACATTCCCATGTCACTCACAGCCCCTCCCCAGGGTTCTCACACCTCCCTATCCCCTCTTCTCAGCTGGCCCGGATCTCCTCCAGTTCCCTTGAGATCAGGACCCAAGCTTCCTTGCCATCCCCATTCCGACACTCCCTCCCTCCCAATGGCAGTCTGGTCCCGCCATGCATTATGTGTCCTTCTGCTCTCATTGCATTCTTGGGCTACACTCTTACAGTCCAGTTCTCCAACGGGAAGCTGCAGAGTCCAGGCAACATGCGCTTTACCTTGTATGAAAACAAAGATTCCACCAACCCCAGGAAGAGGAATCAACGGATCCTGGTAAGTGCATTAGTTGCCAGGTGCCTCCACCCTGGGTGTGTGTGGATGTGGGAAGGAGTGAGGGGAGGAAAAAGGGAGTAGCAAAAGGACCTTTGAAGAACTCTGATGCCCAGCAACTTGGAATGTGGGGACAGACTCCATCTTTGATTCATTTGTTCTCTCAACAAGCATTTATGGAACCCCTTCTGTTCCCTGTGCTGCAAGCTTCTAGGGAAACAGCCAAACTAGGCCTGGCCCCACTCGGAGAAAGTTCATACTCTAGAGCAGGGTTTCTCAACCTCAGGACTATTGACATTTTGGGCCAATAATTGTTCGTTGTGGGGACAGCATCCCTGGTCTCTACCCACTGGATGTCAGTAGCACCAGAGTGGATTTTCCTGGATTGAGAAGCTCAGCTCTAGAGAGATGAGAACTGGCTGTGAGGGACACTTTTACACAAAGCTCTGAGGCCATGTGGGAAGAGTACAGGGCAGAGTGAGCTCAGTGGGAGGAGAGTTCTCTGCCAGAATGCCTTCCTTGGGGAGGGCATGTTGGAGCTGAGCCTTGAAGGATGGAATGAGAGTTTGGCAGTCAAGGTTTGATGTTCCAAGTGGAAAGGATAGTGAGGACAAATGCAGAGAAGCAGGAAAGCTTGCTTATGATTGGGAATTGAATCAGTCATGGTCTTGAGTGTATATAAAGAATAGCCATGGGAGAGATGGGCAAAGAAGATCAAAAAGGGCTTGGACTTTGGGCCAAAGAGAGATTGCTGACAGAATCACTTTGTTGCATACCTATAAGTGCTAGAAGCCCAGGGCCTCTCTCTCAAGTCCTGTGGTAGAATTCCCCCAAGAACTTTTCATACCATTTAGAAGCTAGCAATATCTGAGGCTTCTCTTTCAAAAGTCATCTTGCTTTCCCTCCAGGGACACCCTGTATTCCCTTAGAGATAGTGGGGCTGGATCATCTGCCAGAGATGAACTAGTTCTAATCCATTGTGGGTCTGGATTCTAAAGCTTCAGCAAATGTAGAAAAGAGAGATGATGCTTAATACCTTTCAACATTGGTGGTAAATGGAGTTTCCCCTCTCTGCATTTTAGGCAGCTGAAACAGATAGGCTTTCCTATGTGGGAAACAATTTTGGGACTGGAGCCCTCAAATGCAACACTTTGTGCAGGTAATGGCAGGGGACGGGACAGTGGGAAGGGTGACGGGGATGGGAGTGGTGGCAGCATTGGCACTGCTGTTTCCAGTCTGTTTTAGGGGCAGCAGGGGAAATCTAGAGAGGTTTACTACTAGATGTTCCCTGTGTTCTTCATAGACCCAGAGCCTTCCCCTCCCAGCCTATAGACATTATTATAAAGAAAAGAGAACTTAAATTTCCTAAAAACCTCATTTGTAACCTTATTTATAGCTGTCTTATTCCAAAAGGCAGCTCTCTCCATTAATTTGGAATGTGTGACTAATGACAGGTAAAGAACTTGGTAGTGTTGAAGGGTCTGGGCTGGGAAAGAGGAGCCTGGGATTCCTGTCCAGCTGTGCTGCTGATTGACTGAGTGGCTGGGCAACTCTGCCCATCACTAACCCCTAGTCTTCTCCTCTGTACAATGGAGATTGTCCAGCCAGAACTGTGTAACTCTCGGGGGCTGACATGATGAAGACAGGGCCCCTTGATGGCACCCAACAATGAAACACAAACCAGGCCCTTTCAGAGCCCTGCTAGACCATACTCCAGTAGAGGTCAGATTGGTGTATAGATGCTCTGAACTATTTTTTTTTTTTTTTTTGAGACGGAGTTTCGCTCTTGTTACCCAGGCTGGAGTGCAATGGCGCGATCTCGGCTCACCGCAACCTCCGCCTCCTGGGCTCAGGCAATTCTCCTGCCTCAGCCTCCTAAGTAGCTGGGATTACAGGCACGCACCACCACGCCCAGCTAGTTTTTTGTATTTTTAGTAGAGACGGGGTTTCACCATGTTGACCAGGATGGTCTCGATCTTTCGACCTCGTGATCCACCCTGCCTCGGCCTCCCAAAGTGCTGGGATTACAGGCTTGAGCCACCGCGCCCGGCCTGCTCTGAACTATTAACCTGTACTCTCCCCTCTCAAAGATGCTCTAGTTCTGATTGCTCTCCTCCCCATTTACTTGGTTTTGCCACCGTAAAACTGGTGTGCCATAAATTCTAGTGTAATTCTAGATTCCTACACCCCTAAAGAGTTTTTCATTATAGTACAGCAGCGAGCCCAAATGTGATCAACTAACAGAATCACCTGGTAGCTATTTTTTTTCCCCCCCCAGAACTACCTCATATCCCCCCATCCCATCCCATCCCATCCCATCCCATCCCATCCCATCCCATCCCATCTCATCCTTTCCCATCCTTTCCTTTTCCCTCTCCCTGCAGAGAATTGCTTTGGGGTAGAGGGAAGGGGAGATTATTGTTACCCATGAGTAGGTGATACATTCCTCAGGTGTGCGGGCAGAGAGAAGGTTGACAACTTTTAAACAGGAAAAGGGCCAGGCGTAGTGGCTCACACCTGTAATCCCAGCACTTTGGGAGGCTGAGGGAGGCAGATGACCTGAGGTCAGGAGTTCGAGACCAGCCTGGCCAACATGGTGAAACCCCATCTCTACTAAAAATACAAAAATTAGCCAGGCATGGTGGTGTGCGCCTGTAATCCCAGCTACTTGGGAGGCTGAGACAGGAGAATTGCTCCGGGAGGTGGAGGTTGCAGTGAGCTGAGATCGTGCCACTGTACTCCAGCCTGGGAGACAGAGCAAGACTGTCTCAAGAAAAAAAAGAGGCCAGGTGTGGTGGCTCATGCCAGTAATCCCAGCACTTTGGGAGGCCGAGGCACATGGATCACCTGAGATCAGGAGTTCGAGACCAGCCTGACCAACGTGGAGAAACCCCATCTCTGCTAAAAACACAAAATTAGCTGGGCCTGGTGGTGCATGCCTGTAATCCCAGCTACTCAGGAGGCTGGGGCAGGGGAATCACTTGAACCTGGTGGCAGAGGTTGCTGGCCACCAGGATCGTGCCATTGCACTCCAGCTTGGGCAACAAGAGGGAAACTCTGTCTCAAAAAAAATAAAGGAAAAAGGAAGCTGTACAAATAATATTTTTGAATAATCCATTGCTACTTGTATTATTCCTTCTTTACTCAGGCACTTTGTGGGAATTTTGAACAAGACCTCTGGCCAAATGGAAGTATATGATGCTGAATTGTTCAACATGCAGCCACTGTTTTCAGGTAGGTCCCAGTCATGAAAGCTGACAGAAACACTGCAGAGTTTGGGTTTGCTGGATTAACTGGCTTGAGTTTTAGATTTATAAAACACATTTTATAGTTATTTTCATTTATTTATTTTATTCTTTTTTCTTTGCTTTGTCTGTGTTGAGAGAATGGTTATATACATATCGTGGTGTTTTTTTTGTTTTTTTTTTTGAGATGGAGTCCCACTCTGTCACCCAGATTGTACAGTGGTGCAATCTTGGCTCACTGCAACCTCCACCTCCCAAGTTCAAGCAATTCTCCTGCCTCAGCCTCCTGAGTAGCTGGGACTACAGGAGTATGCCACCACACTCGGCTAATTTTTATATTTTTGGTAGAGACAGGGTTTCACCATGTTGGCCAGGCTAGTCTCAAACTCTTGACCTCAGGTGATCCACCTGCCTCAGCCTCCCAAAGTGCTGGGATAACAGGCATGAGCCACCGAGCCTGGCCTAGAGGTTTGTATTCAGCTTGCACTTACTGATGATCTCCTGCACCAGGTGTGAGGCTGTGGATATGGCAGTAAGCAAGACACAGATCCTGTCCCCATGGTGTTTAGAGGCTTGAGGTGGGAGGTTCATAAAAGCAAGCTATGCAATGATCAGAGCAGAATATTAAAGGACATGCCTGATATAAAATCTTTTCCATCAAAGACCTTTCTTAATTCTTAACCGTTATAGGTAGGATAAAGAGGTTTTAGAATTTCTGGTAGACAAAAAATTGCTTATTAGGTTGTATGGTAACTTTCATGTTGAGAACAAGTCTCACTCATTTGGGGAAGATCTATTTTTTTCCCTAATCTAGTGGAAGAATTTACATTGCTTCTCTGCTTTGTCATCTTAGAATGCTTAGGGCTAGAGTGAGACCTTCCAAAATAATAAAGAAGAGCGTCAGAGTTAAGGAGCTTCTGTTCCTTAAATCTCAGAATTTGAATCCTTAGTGATGCCCTTACATATTGAGAACCATGGCAGGACAGGGTAGTAGATAAGAATCACTGGGATCATTGTGAATCTGCCTGATACCTCAGAGGCATTACTTCCAGCTTTATTCTCTCAAAACAGTGCCTCCACCCCTTTTGAGAATCTGATGAGGACTTGGACCTGCTTCTGAGAAACATATATAACACACAAATATATATATGGGATTTTTTTAAAATACGGAATTTTCCACCTAATTTTTTTTTTTTTGAGACCGAGTCTTACTTTGTCACCCAGACTGGAATGCAGTGGCGCCATCTGGGTTCACAGAAGCCTCCGCCTCCCAGATTCAAGCGATTCTCCTGCCTCAGCCTCCTGAGTAGCTGGGGTTACAGGTGTGCACTATCATGCCTGGCTAATTTTTTTATTTTTAGTAGAAATGGGGTTTCACCATGTTGGCCAGGCTGGTCTTGAACTCCTGGCCTCAAGTGATTCGCCCACCTCAGCCTCCCAAAGTGCTGGGATTACGGTGTGAGCCACTGTGCCTGGCCAAATTTTACACATAATTTTAAAGGGCTCTTGAGTCCTGACACCCATCTGTGAATTTCCTAGGGGTCCCCCTGCTTTGCAAACATATATAACTATATTTAAGTCATCTTCCAATTGTTCTTATAAAATCCAAGGAGGCAAGGAAAATTGTAATTTAACATGATTAAACAGATTTTTGTTTTTATATGTAAGAAATCTGTAAATAGGAATTTATTCTAGCTAGTACACACACACAGATAACATTTATCTTAAGTCCTTATTATGTGCTAGTCACTGTTCTAAGCACTTGTGACGCACACAGCAACCTCTGGAGTAAATACTGTTGTTTTTCTTTTTAACCAATGGTGAAACTGGCAGAGCTTAGATGACCTTGTCATGGGTGATGTCTGAGATAACAGGCAAGGCCACTCAAGAGCTTGTGCAGTTGTCTGCTAGGTTCTGCTGCCCCTTATTTGAGTAATTTGTAGATGATTAGAGAGCATCGTATAAATACCACCACATACCTCATGTTCATGCCTGCTTTTAGGTCTTTCATCAAGAAAGCAAAATTATTTCTTCAGAAGAGCCAAGGACTTGTTTTCTAATCCTGTCTGCCACCACCTGGTGAACTGACCTGGGGCGAGTCATTTCCAAAATGAAGAGGTTGGGCCTGATGTCCCCTTCATTTGACTCTCTCATTTACTCTCCAAGTTCTTTAATTGTATACTAAAGCTACATATTAAATATTCACAGTATACACTCACGTTAGGCTCAGGGAAGTCCTGTAGTAAAAAAATCTATTATTCTTAGATAGACAAACGAATATTAAACACTATTACTATTTGTAAGCCTTCCACTTCCCTTTTCTTTCTGTCTGTTTTTGTGTGTTTTGATAGATGAATCAGTTGAGAGTGAACTGGTACAAGAGAGTCAGACCAAAACTTACAGAGAAAAGGTGAGTGTGAGAAAATGAAGATGTGGGACCTTAAGCAAGTTCCTTCCATACCTTGGTTTTTCCTTCATTAAAATGAGCTTACTGAACTCAAGCGTCTGCCTGGCTGCTCCCAGTTCATTCAGCCTGTTTCTCTGGACAGTTAGTTTGTACCTGCAGAAGCCTTCTTGGTCCCACAGAGAACAGTCCCCCTTCCATCTGGGGCACACAGCTCTGTGCCAGTGTTTGGTGTTGGTTCTCTGGGCTGATACAGGTGTAGCATGATGCTTATTTTTAGGATTTTGTCCAAGTTTTGGAATATATTGGTTGTAGCCTGAAAACTTTCACGTTAAAACAAAGTAAACTTTATGATTTTCAGTGTAGAAGGTCCCTGCAAAGGTCATCTCACCCAAGTGGCAAATTGATTGAATCTCTGGTGCTATGTGGAGCACTGTATTGAGAAGGGGTGTGAGGCTACCTTTTGGCTCAGGGGGAAGGAGTCAGTGACCTCTTAGCCCTGTCTGTTACGGATATAGGATGGGAGAATGGTAAGCTGTGTGCTACAGATTTACCGCCCTAATTCTAGTCAAGTCTTTTTATTTTACTGATGGAGATGTTGTTGATCGGTCAGTCTGTTAATAGCATTTGGTGCTTACAGCAATCCTGTGAGGTAAATAGGTGCGATTCAGCCTTATTCACAGGTGAGGGAGTGATGGCTCCAGGATGCTGAGAGTGTCCCCATAGTGACACAGCTAGGAGGAGCAGTGCCTACCTGTCCTGTCTCTGGTAACCAGGTTTATCTCTTACACAGATGGATTCTTGTATTGAAGCCTTTGGTACCACCAAACAGAAACGAGCTCTGAACGCCAGGAGAATGAACAAAGTTGGCGGTGATTCTTTGAATCGTGCGGTGGCTAAAGCTGCAGAGACTATCATTGATACAAAGGGTGTGACTGGTAAGCGTTTGGAACTTGGGGTAAGAGTCTGCCCATAATGACAGCTTTTCTTCTCTTGAGATCTTTTACCCACCCACAGATGGAATGCTGAGAGCTAGGGCTGGGTTCCTTTCTGCCTGTTGCTGAAGGCCTTCTCAGAGACAGGCTCTGGAAGTAGTAAGAAACATCCGACATGGCCTTGTCCTCTAGTGATCTCACAGTCAAGCACAGGGACAGGCACGGGATAGATACGTGTGTGCTTTGGTCATGGTGCTGGGGTTACAGCCTGCAGGGCACAGAAGAGGGAGAAGGCCTCAGGTCTCTCCTTGTGAGTTGTAGGGAAGCTTTAGTCAAAAAGGCTGATGTGTTGATGGAAATGAGCCTCCAGAGGTGGCATTTCACTTTGGGATTGGTGGCTCTTTTTCTGGTATTCAGTAGCTGGAGTATTTAATTGTATTTTAAAATTTATTTTAAATAAAATTTAAAATTTAAATACAGTTAAATTTTAATTTTAGGCTCACGCCTGTAATCCCAGCACTTTGGGAGGCCGAGGCTGGCAGATCATCTGAGGTCAGGAGTTTGAGACCAGCCTGATCAACATGGATAAACCTCGTTTCTACTAAAAATACAAAATTAGCTGGGCGTGGTAGCACATGCCTGTAATCCCAGCTACTCGGGAAGCTGAGGCAGGAGAATTGCTTGAATCTGGGAGGTGGAGGTTAGAGTGAGCTGAGATCTTGTCATTGCACTCCAGTCTGGGCAACGAGAACAAAACTCCATCTCAGAAAAAAAAAAAAGTATTTATTGTTCAAATACATTATAAGAACGGAAGAGCAAGTTTATATAAGAGCAGCTTTCTTTTTACTGTTTTCAGAGATGAGGTCTTGCCGTGTTGCCCAGGCTGATCTTGAACTCTCGGTTTCAAGCAGTCCTCCTGCCTCAGCCTTCCAGGTCGCTAGGATTATAGGCACACACCACTGTTACTGTGGGCAGGGCAGTTTTTCTATTAAGAATGGAATTCTAGTAATTTTTGGAAAATCTTTCCATATCCTATGATTATATACATTTCAACAAGTTTATAGATTTATGTATGTATGTATGTGTGTATGTATGTATGTATTGGAGATGGGATCTTGCTGTATCACCCAGACTGGAGTGGAGTGGTACAGACATGGCTCACTGTAGCCATAAACTTCTGGGCTCAAGTGATCCTCCTGCTTCAGCCTCCCAGTGGCTGGCACCACAGGCGTCTTTTGGAGAGACAGGGTCTTGCTATGTTGCCCGGGCTGGTCTCAAACTCCTGGGCTCAAGCCCTCCTCCCGCCATGGCCTCCCAAAGTGTTGGGATTACAGGTGTGAGCCAGCCATCGCACCTGGCCACGTAGTTATTCTTGTAGGGCAATTAGTGTTACATTCTGAAAGGTTTCTTTTGCCTACAATGTGTGGCAAAATATATTAGAAGTTAAGCCATTAAAGGCTATTTTGGATGCTCTTCACTTTTTCGTTTTGTATTATAAATGCTTGTTAGCGCAGCTGTCTCTCCCAACTCTATTGTAAGTTACCTGAGAAGAACTTTGCCACCTCCACCTTCTCCAGTGCCTAACTTGTGTTTGTTCATGAGTGAAGATGGCCGTCCTGAAGCAGTCAGCCTGATGGGGAGGCCAGGTGACTTTGCCAGATGCACTGAGACTCGGGGTTTCCAGACCATTTGTGGTCTCAGGTGCACAGACTGAAAGGAATGTTGTTGAACCTGAAGCAAACAGGGTGATGCATGGATTGTTTCTTTATTAAAAAGCTCTGGTCAGTGATGCTATCCACAATGACTTGCAAGATGACTCCCTCTACCTTCCTCCCTGCTATGATGATGCAGCCAAGCCTGAAGATGTGTATAAATTTGAAGATCGTATCCTTGCAGTAGAAAAGCTGCTTTATTTGACAAGTTGGGATGTTTGCACATGAGTGCACAGTCAGGTTCTCTGAGGGTGTCTGTGTTCTTGTGGCTTTTACAAGAACTCCTTCCAAATCTTTGCAGTTGCCCAGTGCTCTTGCCAGGAGGTCAACTTGGCTTCACTAGCTAAGGGACCAGCCCCTGGGATTCAAATCCATTCCTCAGCAAAATGCCAAATGCCCACAGCTCAGACCTGTGGGGGTCACTCTCCATGGATAGTCAAAATACAACTTTTGAACCAGCTAAATGCCCAAAGTCTAGGGCAGACCAGTTTTGTAAGAGGAAGGGTTGGAGCTTAGAATTTCACCACTCTGTAGGTTCAGCCAGAAGGAAAAGGCCTGCAGTGGCTTTGTGATGAGAAAAGGCAGAAAAGGCTGGGCAGGGAATGGGCTCTGGGCTGGGAGTCACCGAGCTCTGCCCTTACGTGATCTGCCCTGTGTGATTGCCTCTCTGAGCCTCAGTTTCCCTGTCTGTGAAAGAGATGATCAAGCTAGTTGGATGTTTCTATTTTGGTTGGATTACATTCTTGACCTGTAACTAGTTCTTTCCCCTGCGGAGTATGAAGCTCTTCAGAGTCCATCTGAAGCTTTCAGGAACGTCACATCAGAAGAAATACTGAAGATGATTGAGGAGAACAGGTACCCCAATTTGGGCAGATGGGGGCTCCGGGGAGTGCTGTTGGGACACAACAGTAGTCAGACACTGAGCAGTTCCTTTGGGTGTCAGTCAGTGAGTAGGTTTGTCTGTTCAGCATTTGAACATGAATAAGCCAGAGTTTTCTTGAATGTTTGGGCTTCCAGGAGCTGTGGGTCACATTCAAGGGAGAGGGTTGGTCTCTGAGTGCTTGGGACCTGCGACAGGGCAGAAGTTGGTGAGGCCTTCTACTCTGGGGCTGGGAACCAGAGCTGCTTGTGTCACCCAGTGTCATGCTGATGCTGATTTTCATTAGTAGGGCCCAGATGCTGGCCTGGGAATGAGTACTGGCCAAAGTGATGGTTTCTCTGTGAGGATATGCTAGGCGGGCTTTTCTTTTCTTTTTTTTCTTTGAGAAGGAGTTTCGCTCTTGTTACCCAGGCTGGAGTGCAATGGCGCGATCTCGGCTCACCGCAACCTCTGCCTCCTGAGTTCAAGCAATTCTCCTGCCTCAGCCTCCTGAGTAGCTGGGATTACAGGCACGCGCCACCACACCCAGCTAATTTTTTTGTATTTTTAGTAGAGACGGGGTTTCACCATGTTGACCAGGATGGTTTCTATCTCTTGACCTCGTGATCCACCCACCTCGGCCTCCCAAAGTGCTGGGATTACAGACATGAGGCGGGCTTTTCTAACATTAAATTTATGTATTTAAAATAGTGTATATTTTAAATAATTCAGAGGTTATTTCCTTTTTCATCCCCTTTTCGCATTAAAATAGCTTCTTTTATGATGGTGAGTTTTTTTGCTTTTGAGTTTTTTCTTTTAATAATTTCATTTTGATGATGAATTGTCAATCTGAGGTTTGTTCCTCCCATTTTTGTTTTAAAATTTTACTGGTCAGTGAAGTCCAGTGCCTTTCCAGTGCCTTGGAATTATTATTATTACATTTTTTTTTTTTTTGCTTCAAAGATTTATTTCCAAAGAAGAGCTCAGTACTAGTTTGTAGTTGTCTGAATGCGATTGTAACTCAGGGGCAGGTGCAGGAACGAACTCTGAGCTGGGAGTCTGAAAACAGTCCTCGAGCTCTGCCCTAATCTTCCCTCTTGAAGCCTCAGTTTTTCCATCTGTAAAATGAGGCAGCTATGAGATGATCTTGAAGAGCCTTTCTATCTCTGTGAGTCCAGGGGCTTGCTAGCAGTAGGACTGCATGAAAATAATGGTGAGCATTGACTCAGCCCTTCCATTTGTGCCAAGCACTGTTCTAAGTGCTTTACTGGCATTGTCTCTTTTCATCCAAAAAAAAATCCTTAGGAGGAGACTACCTGTACTATCACTGGCCCCAGTTTATAGGTGGAGAAACCAGGGCACTAGATGTCAAGAAACTTGCCCAAGCCATTAAATGGCAGAGAAAGGATTGAAACCCAGGAAGGCTGCCTGCAGACTCTATGCTCCTGACAGTGAAAACAGAGGTCAGCAAACTATGGCCCACATGCCAAGTCTGGCCTGCTGCCTGTGAATAAGTAACATATAAATAAAGTTTTATTGGAGCACACCCTGTTCATTTACTTAGGTAATATCTGTGACTGCTTTTGCGCTACAATGGCAGAGTCAAGTAGTTGCAACAGAGGTGGTGTGGCTTCCAAAGCCTAAAATATTTACTGTCTAGCCCTTGATCGATCCTTGCTCTAAACCGTGTTCCTCCTGTTATAAGGAATGCTGAGTGTGCTGGTCCTTCATCAGCTGCTTTTGTTCGTGGTTTGTTTTTTTTTTTTTTTTGAGACAGGGTCTTGCTCTGTCACCTAGGCTGGAGTACAGTGGCACAAACACAGTGCACTGGAGCCTTGACCTCCCGGGCTCAAGTGATCCTCCTGCCTCAGCCTCCCGAGTAGCTGGGACCACAGGCGTGTGGCACCAATGCTGGCTAATTTTTTGTGGAGCTGGGATCTTGTCTTGTTGCCTAGGCTTTCATCAGGTGTTGAGTGTGTCGGGGGTGAGAGGTGCCTGCTATTCTCATTGTAAGAGGGAAATAGTTCCTGACAGCACATCTTACTCTGACACAGGCCTCCCTTTCTTTTCCTTGTTTTAGCCATTGCACGTTTGTCATAGACGCACTGAAGTCTTTGCCATCAAATGTGGAGAGCCGAGACCGCCAGGCCCGATGCATATGGTTTTTGGATACCCTCATCAAATTTCGAGCTCAGAGGGTAGTAAAGCGGAAAAGTAAGTCTATGATAAACATTTTATTCTAATCGTTTCCAGTCTATTATTTGTCTATAATTCTTAGATGAGTTCTAATGAGAGAAGAAAATGGATATGTCTGTCCAAGTCCATCAACTGTGAGATTCCTGCCAGTACTGCTGACATGTCAAGGGGACTTGCCAGGCCTGTTTTTCTCTCTGGATCTCCCATTTTCTTAACTGAAAATTGGGGCATAATGGATTATATGATAGTTCAGGGCCCTTCCAGAGCTGACATTTGCTACTTCTATTCTTCATTAGGCGAAGTAGATTATCCGGGTTAAATGGAATGAAAACTTTAAGGGACTGTTAGAACAAACATCAGCCACTGTGTGTGTGTGTGTGTGTGTGTGTGTGTGTGTGTGTGTGTGAGAGAGAGAGAGAGAGTGTGTGTGTGTGTGTAGAGAGAGCTTATATATATGTATATGAGATACACATACGTATCTCGAAGGCTTATGGCAGGTTTGTGTTGTGTCAGCTTATTTCTAACTAGAGTCAGTCTGATGGTAACCCAGTGTCACTTGTAGCTAGGACCCTTTGTGGGTCACACATTCATACCTACCCAGAGTTGGAAACCCAGGAGATGTCTGTGGTTTTAGGGAAAAGGTGTGTTTAGTTGTTGTTACTGTGACTGGGCATCCAATAGTCTATACTGTTGTTTTTCAGTATAGTCATGTGTTGCTTAAGGATGGGGATGTGTTCTGAGAAATGTATCCTTAGGAAATGTTGTCATTGTACAAACATTAATAGAGTATATTTACATAAACCTAGATGGTATAGCCTACTACACACCTAGGCTATATGCTATAATCTGTTGCTCCTAGGCTGCAAACCTATACAGCATGTTACTCTACTGAATATGATAGGCAGTTGTAACACAGTGATATTTGTGTGTCTAAATATATAAACAGAAAAGGAATAGTAAAACTATGATATTATAATCTTATGGGACAGCCTGGACATGGTGGCTCATGTCTGTATCTCAGCACTTTGGCCAAGGTGAGAGAATCATTTCCAGGCAGGGGTTTGAAATCAGCCTGGGCAACATAGCAAGACACTGTCTCTACAAAATTAAAAATATTAGCTGGGTATGGTGGTACATGCCTATTTTGGAAGGCTGAGGCAGAAGGAGTGTTTGAGACTAGGAGTTCCAGGTTACAGTGAGCTATGATTTCATCACTGCCTCGGTGACAGCAAGACCCTATGTCTAAAAAAATCATATGGGACCATTGTCACATCTGTGGTCTGTCATTGACAAAAAAAAAAACAACAAAAAAACACTACAATGCGGGGCGTGACTATATATCCTTAGTCATTTTCTTTTTTTTTTTTTTGAGACAGGATCTCACTCTGTCACACAGGCTGGAGTGCAGTGCTATGAGCTCAGCTCACTACAACCTCCATCTCCTGAGTTCAAGCAGTTTTCCTGCCTCAGTCTCCCTCGTAGCTAGGATTACAGGTGGGCGTCACCACACTCAGCTAATTTTTGGTTTTTTTTAGTAGAGATGAGATTTCTACATGTTGGCCAGGCTGGTCTTGACCTCCTGGCCTCAGGTGATCCACCTGCCTTGGCATCCCACAGTCCTGGCTGGGATTACAGGCGTGAGTGACCTCACCCAGGCTGTATTTGCTTAGTTGCTTTTTTTGAGATGGAGTCTCACTCTATTGCCCAGGCTGGAGTACAGTGTCACAATCTCAGCTCACTGCAACCTACGCCTCCTGAGTTCAAGCGATTCTCCTGCCTCAGCCTCCTAAGTAGCTGGGATTACAGGTACACACCACAATACCTGGCTAATTTTTGTATTTTTAGTAGAGGTGGAGTTTCACTGTGTTGGCCAGGCTGGTCTCAAACTCCTGACCTCAGGTGATCTGTCCGCCTTGGCCTCCCAAAGTGCTGGGATTACAGGTGTGAGCCACCTCGACCAGCCACTTATTTCTTATTTTCACATTCCAATTCCACCTTTCCCTCTCTGTCTCTCTGAGCTTTCAGCACAATTTTGTTTTCTAACGTCGTGTTAAATCTGCGTCCTGCTGGGACGTCTGTGGCTCACACCTATAATCGCAGCACTTGGGGAGGCTGAGGTGGGTGGATCACCTGAGGTCAGGAGTTCAAGACCAGCCTGACCAACAAGGAGAAACCCTGTCTCGACTAAAAATACAAAATTAGTCGGCCGTGGCGGGGCATGCCTGTAATCCCAGCTACTTGGCAGGCTGAGGCAGGAGAACTGCTTGAAGCCAGGAGGCAGAGGTTGCAGTGACCTATTGTGCCATTGTACTCCATCCTGGGCAACAAGAGCAAAAGTCTGTCTCAAAAAAAAAATTCTGTGTCCCTGGGCCTCAGGCTGTGGTCTTTCTTGTCACCGGCCCCTCACCAGCATCACTCTTGCAGGGAGGTCTGCCAGCAGCAGCACACCGAGCATGTTTGCATTTTGCCATGGCTGTTCTGCTTTGTGGGTCTTGCTTCTCTTACCTCCTGGTTCTTGGTCATTACAGTGGCCCAACTGTTGGCCTTTTCTCTCAGCTCATGGTTGAGGTGTGGCCTGAGAGTTTTAAGAGAAAATGATCAAACTTAACTTTGTGTTGTAGATGCCCTGGGACCTGATATTCCCCACATCATCAACACCAAACTGCTGAAGCACTTTACCTGCTTGACATACAACAATGGCAGGTCAGAGGGTGGTTTCTGGGATTTTTCCTGTGCAAGGGAAAGCAGGTGGGGGAGTAAGGAGCGGGGGCATGGACTCAATTTCATGTCCACTGATATGCAGTGCTAAAGAGACTGCTGCCATTTGGAAGTCTCCTGGGGCCCCAGTAAGTCTAGCAAACGCTAAATATTACTCTGTCCTTTTTGGAAAAGTATTGTCTTTTGGGAATCTTAGAAGCTCTGGGAGGTCCTACAATAGAGACTTGTTTTACTTCACATACTTCTTTTGAGGAGCCCTTCCTGATGTCCCACAGAGCTGGTGTTCTGCGGAAAGGCAGTGTCGCATAAAACGGCAGGCCAACTTGGGGACTTTGGGGAAAGACCCACAAGCAGTGCCCCTGGGCTTTTCTTCCTGCTATCTGCATGGAATGTGTTTTCTGCTCCTGGGTGTGCTTGGAAGAATCAGCACAGTTGATTTGGGAATGACTGTTTTCCCAGCAGCCCTGCTGTGCAGGTGGGACAGACTCAGAGGGCCCTCACCAGCTCGAAGTGCTAGTGGTGCCCAGGGAGCGTGTAGGCCCAACTTTCTCTTTCCCCCTCAGAGGGAAATGTGGACTGGCACACTGCTCCACTGTGTGTGAGGCCCAGGAACCTTGGGAGGGCAAAGAAGCCATCCATATTCCTTTTCCTTTTCTTTAGTTCCTGAGTGCATATGGGAATACGCTTGGATGTTCTTATTTTGCTTTTGGAGAAATTGTCTTAGACTTTAATTTTGTTTCTTCATTGCCACTGATTTTCTAGTTTACGGAACTTAATTTCGGATTCTATGAAGGCGAAGATTACTGCATATGTGATCATACTTGCCTTGCACATAAATGACTTCCAAATTGACCTGACAATGTTACAGAGGGACTTGAAGCTCAGTGAGAAAAGGTGAGCACAACAGAATAAAGAGCTCCCTGCAGGGCACCTTGATGTCTTACTTCTGGTACCACTGGAAAGCATGAGGTGCCACTAAGGGAACTGAGGATTTTTAAATGTGGGAACAAGTTGGAACTAGAGGTCGATTTTCAGTGAATCAATCATTGACTGAATGAGCAAATAGACATTACTGAGTGCCTTCTCTTTGCAAGGCACAGTCTTAAATTATGTCATTATCTCACTGATTTCCCTAGAAAACAATTGAAGAATCAGGTTTAGAAAAGTACATGACTTTCTCAAAGTTACCCAACCAGGAGGGGAGCAGCTGGACTTCAGATGTGAGCCTTTCCATAACATTCTGTTCCTGAATAACCAAACAGCCTCCATTCTCTGAATTTCTGTCACTGGGGAGAGGGATTTTGTATGGTTCTGAGGGTGCAGCCCAGGGTGGAAGTTGTAGGAGAACTCAACTTCCACTTAGTAAGAAGAGCTTCCTCAGAATCAGATGGAAGGGCTTGCCCAGGGGAGGTGTTCAAGGTGGAACCACTGTTTGGCAGGGATGTCATGTTTGCACTTCTCTGACCTGACTGGGAGAGCTGGTGGTAGGGGTGACCTTTCGGGCTCCCTCTAACCTTGTAGAGGAGATTCAGACAGTAGGGGCAGAGCTGCCCGGGAACCTATAACTGTGGGGTCAGCTGATCTTTGTCAGTGATATAGGGGCATGTGGTATCCAGGGACCCAGATGGTGTCTAGGAGAGCCAGTGAACACACCTCTGTCTGGACTCTCCTAGCAGTCCATGGAGGGACAGTTCTGAGAGTTGTCCACAGACTGTGTTCCCACAGGCACTGAGGCTGAATAAAGAGAACAGGTACTTGGAACTTGTCAGATTCTAGCAAGTGCTCAATGCTGATTGCTAAAAATTTGGTTATGGGTGGTAAAGAAAGTTGTCCATAGGGCTCTAAGATACTCTGGTTTTTCATCACCCACATGGATCTTTCGAACGGCAGTGCATTAAAATGAAATTGTCTGTCTGATGGCTCCCAGTGGGTGAGGGGACCTTGCCTGCCCCTCTGCCTGGGGCTTTGCTCCTGCTGGCAACCTTTGGGATTCTATCTTTATGGCCTGGAGCATGAATGTGCTGCTACCTTTTGCCACACCTCCCTGAACAGTCACATTGAGGAGTCTCTCTGATTGTTCTGTCTGTGTCTTCCTTAGGATGATGGAGATAGCCAAAGCCATGAGGCTGAAGATCTCCAAAAGAAGGGTGTCTGTGGCCGCCGGTGGTGAAGAAGATCACAAACTGGGCACCCTGTCCCTCCCGCTGCCTCCCGCCCAGACCTCAGACCGCCTGTCAAAGCGGAGGAAGATTACCTAGATGCCTGCTTTCCAGATAGGAGATTTTGGCTGCATCGTAGCCACTGGCTGGTCCTATTCATTTCCATTTTTATTTTTTAAAAAGGAAAGGTCCGGACATGGTGGCTCACACGTGAAATCCCAGCACTTTGGGAGGCTGAGGTGGGAAGATCACTTGAGCTCAGGAGTTCGAAACCAGTCTGGGCAACATAGGGAGACCTTGTCTCTACTGCAAAAAATAAAAAAATAAAAAGTCAGGCCTGGTGGTGTGTGTCTGTAATCCCAGCTGAGGCAGGGCAATTACTTGAGCTTGGGAAATCAAGGTTGCAGTGAGCTATGATTACGTGGCCTCACTCCAGCCTGGGTGACAGAGTGAGACTTTGTCTCTAAAAAGTAAAATAAGGAAAAAAAGAAGCCTTGCTTTGGCACAGGTATGAAGCCAGAAGCCAGAATCTCATTGAGCTGTCCTATGCAGAAGTATAAAGTGATGGTCAGGTTGGACTTCATCTCTTTCCTTTGGTGTTATTGCTGTGATTATAAATGGCAAGTTTCCCATGTTGGTTCACCTGTGTGGGGATTTGGGAGGGTGGGGCCTGGCTCAGGCTCAAAGATTTCATCAGGCTGAGTCATATCTTATCTTTTTTTTTTTTTTTCCGAGGTGGAGTCTTGCTCTGTTGCCCAGGCTGAAATGCAGTGGCATGATCAATCACTTGAACCTCCACCTCCTGGGTTCAAGTGATTCTCCTTCCGCAGCCTCCTAAGTAGCTGGGATTACAGGTGGGTGCCACCACACCCAACTAATTTTTGTATTTTTAGTAGAGACGGGGTTTTACCATGTTGGTCAGGCTGGTTTTCAACTCCTGACTTCGTGATCCACCCACCTCGGCCTCCCAAAGTGCTGGGATTATAGGCGTGAGCCACTGCGCCCATCCCAGGCTGAGTCAAATCTAATGGATGAAGGTTTCCAAAGAGAAATGTGAAGTGACGTGCTTAGGTCTGGAAGAGCCAGTGGAGTACATGGTGAGGAAGGAGGATCAGGTTCAGCACCCCTGGAAAATGATGCTTCAAGGCTTTATCAGAAGCTAACTGGGTCACCATTGTGATGGGGTTCTTACACACCAGTAGGGTACAGCCTGTTGTAATGGGGTGCAGCCAAGTCAGAAGAAGTGGTGACCCAACTTCTCTGCCTGGCTGAAGCCACATAGAAGGCAGGGGTCAGCTTTGAAAACCACACCTTGAAGAGGATGAGTCAGTCAGTGTTTAGTTCAGAAAATAATTTGCTCTAGGTAATTTTTTTTTTTTTTTTTTTGAGACAGTCTCTCTGTCTCACTCTGTTGCCCAGGCTAGAGTGTAGAGGCGTGTTCTTGACTTAACTGCACTCCAGCATCAACCTCCCAAGTAGCTGGGGTTACAGGCACCACCACACCTGGCTAATATTTGTATTTTTAGTAGAGACGGGGTTATACCATGTTGGTCAGGATGGTCTTGAACTCCTTATCTTGTGATGTGCCCGCCTTGGCCTCCCAAAGTGCTGGGATTATAGTTGTGAGCCACCATGCCTGGCTGCTCTAGGTATCTTAAGAAAGGATTTTACTATACGGATAGGGTGCTATAGAATTCTGAGATAGGCTAGAGGACTGGGAATTGGAAGGCTGCCATCAGGACTGCTGAGTTTAAGAACACACTGCTGGGATTGCCATCAGGGGACTCGGAAGCCCTTTCTACTCCGTAACTGCTTCTGGAGATTCAACACTGGGATGCTGAGTTCAGCTACCCATGCATTCAGGGTTTGCATTTCCACCACCTTGTCAGCAAAGACAGCCAGAAGAGCGGGCAGCTGGCCTCCACCTTGCTTCCTTCTGGTGCACATACAGTATATAGGAGCCTGATTCGGATATAGAATCCTAGCAGCAAGGGAGTCTTTGAAATAGGTTTCAGCTCACCAACCTCTAGTTACAGGAGGCATTCTAGAAGGACATTAATGGATACTACCTGCTAACCAATCGTATGTGCCACTGAGGAGATGGAGAAGCGGTGTCCAGAGGGGTGCTGTAAGACAGGAGTGTGACACAGGAAGGCTTAGGTATATGGCCTGGGCCCATCCTCAGATCTCCAGGGTCCTGCTTCAAGTGGGAGCAGCTGAGATCTGTGATACTCAGCACCTGGAAGGCTGGGTCAGTGAAGGGAGGGAGGGAGAGCTCAGCTCTTCTGAGAGAAGTTTACCCAGCACCTAGGGGCCTCCATGAGGGAGTCAAAATAGAAAGGAGTCTTGCCTGAGCTTTGAGGCAAATGCTACTTGGAGCATACTTTGTCTTCCTCCAGCAGAGGTGTGGGCAGGGAATCGACTTGCCTCTTTAAGCCATGAAAATCAAGTATGTGACGACTCCTTGGAAAATATCTCTCAGAAAAGGACTTCTAATGCATCCTCAGGGTAGAATATGTGATTACTTTTAAAATTCAGATGGGTTTAACACTTTGAGGCTTAATTTCTGGGAATGACTGGACACAGCTCTCCCACCTATAAACCCCAGTATATGCCCAAACCAAGGAAAGCCTTCCAGAAATGCCTCTTTTAAAATATAGAACTTTATTTTGGTTATTGAGGTTTTTGTTACTTTTGGTTCACAGAAAAGTCATTTCTTAGAAAATAGTAAAGGCAGCATTTTGTACAGCGACTCACATTGGGGCCACCAAACAAGTGCAAAGGACAGTGCCAGGGATAGAAGAGACCAGCACTCTTGTGCCCAATGTCCTCAGGGAGAAGCCAGTGCTCCTGGCTCCCTCTACCCCCTCCCATCACACCCAACACAGCAGCACCTAGGGCCCGATAGAACCAGCCATGCAGCCAAGTGCACGACAGCGACCCCTGCAGGCTGGTGAGGGCCCCACAAGAAAGGCCGAGTGGGAGGGGATTGTTCAGGCTGAGCTGGCCCTGCATCCAGCCCCCTTCCTCAAGCTGTGGGGTCTGAGCTCACCTGGCTTTGGGACTTTGACACATTCACAGTATGGTTCAGTAAAGTTCCCTGGGAGCTGGCCTTCCTCTCCTCAGGCCACTAATCCCACCCCAGTCCCAGGCTGGGATCTGGGGACACACAGATGTGGCCCTACCTATGGGGAGCACACAGGTCTGTGTCCTCACAGGATGGTGCAGAAGACACTGCGGTTGCTGTGGTAACCACCTTCCACGCGGGCTGTGATCCTCGTTGCCATGACTGTCACCTGCCCATTGTGAGCTGCTGAGGGGCATCTGAGAGAGTTTTCGAGGTGGGGCCGTGCTGGTGGGTTCACCAGGCGCCATGTATCAGACCTGGAGGTGCAAAACTGAAGTCAGTGAACGTCTGAGAGGTCTGCAGCGCTGCAGTGCACAGCACAGTCTTAACTTTGGTTCCAGATTGGTGGATCTAGGTGTTGAAATCTGGATGTAGGTTCTATCTTCCAGTTTAGTGTGAGCCCAAAGAGGTGGGATACTGGGAAACTAAGGGGCAAAAGTCCTGCATTCCACGTCCAGCCCTGCCTTCAACTCTGCACATAACCTTGGATAAGGTCTATGGGCCTCAATTTTCCCACTTTGAGACAGGGTATCACTCTGTTGCCCAGGCTGGGGAGCAGTGACACGATCATTGGCTCACTGCAGCCTCAACCTCAACCACCCAGCCAATTTCCCCATTTTAAGTAAGAATGGATAAGATCATAGGGTGGTTGTTGTGAGACGGGGTCTCATTATGTTGCCCAAGCTGATCTTAAACTCCTGGGCTTGAGTGATCCTCCTGCCTCAGCCTCCCGAGTGGCTGGGATTACAGGTGCTTGCCACGGTGCCCAGCCTTTCTTCTTTCATTTTCACTTCTTTTCAGCTCTATGACCACAAATGTTTAGAAGCTTTGTTAATAATCTCCAAAAAACTACAAACCACCTAAATAGCCCTCAGTTGATGGGTGAATAAACTGTGGTACGCCCATACAGCAGAAGACTACCCAGCGATCGAAAGGAATGAATGCCTTACACACAACACCATGAATCAATCTCCACTGTGTTAGACTAAGTGAAAGGAGCCAGATTCCAAAGACTACATACTACAGGATTTTTAAAACTTTTTTTGAGATGGGCTGGAGTACAATTGTATGATCTGGGCTTACTGCAACCTCTTCCTCCCAGGTTCAAGCAATCTTCCTGCTTCAGCCTCCTAAGTACCTGGGACTACAGGTGCCCATCACCACACCCGCTTAATTTTTGTATTTTTAGTAGAGATGGAGTTTTGCCATTTTGGTCAGGTGGGTCTTGAACTCCTGACCTCAGGTGATCCAGCTGCCTTGGCTTCCCAAAGTGCTGGGATTGCAGGCATAAGCCACCACACCTGGCCAGGCTTGCTTGCTTGCTGCTGCTTTTTTTTTTTTTTATAGAAAAGGGTTTCACCATGTTGGCCAGGATGGTCTCGATCTCCTGATCTCGTGATCCACCCGCCTTGGCCTCCCAAAATGCTGTGATTACAGGCGTGAGCCACTGCGCCCGGCCCAGGAATTCTTTTATATGACATTTGGGAAAATCCAAATCTATTGGGGATGGAAGTTGGTGAGTTTCCAGTCATCCAAACCCTTATAGAGAGTATGGAGGGGCGGGGGGAAATCAAATCATAGTGAATCTGTGGTCAGAGTTTTCTGATGCTTGAGTTACAAGGAACCAGCTTTACACACACCAAATTTCTATTTGCTTAAGGCCATTGTCTTACATGTATTTTTATGATAATCATATTACAATGAAAGGATTGGAAAGGTGTGGACAGAATCAGAGGTTGGCTACTAACAGGTGAGTAAAAAGGCCTCACCTCTGCTGGGAGGACTGTATGTGTTTGACTTGGCAGCAGGGGAGCACTACCGAGAAGGAGTAATGAGAGGCTAGAAAAGACAATTATGACCTCAGGGTGCACATCGGACAATACCGGAGCTGGCATTGGCCAAGTCTGGGCTGTATCCTGTACCCTGGGGTCTCCGAAGGGGAGAAAGGTGGATCCCAGGGAATCTACAATATTATCTGCTGGGATGTGGGAATAAAATATTAGAATTCTGATTTGTTTTTAACTTTATACTTGAAATTTTTCTATTTTGGGTATAGTTTATAATGTAAATAATATACTGCTACAATAGACACATATAAGTTATAAATAGGTATACTGGCTAGGTGTGGTGGCTCACACCTGTAATCTCAGCACTTTGCGGGGCTGAGGCAGGTGGATCACCTAAGGTCAGGAGTTTGAGACCAGCCTGGCCAACATGGCAAAACCCCATCTCTACTAAAAATACAAAGATTAGCTGGGAGTCGCACCACTGCACTGCAGCCTGGGCAACAGAGTGAGACTTCGTCTCTAAACAAATAAATAAATAAATAGGTATAACCACATTGGGGGTTTCTTAACAAAATGTTTTTCCCAAGAGTGTGTGTAACACAAAAAGTATGGGGATCATTACTACAGAACATGAAGATCCATCAGAGGTTTTTAACCGTGGAAGTGAGA